GCTTGCGGAGGACCCCCGCGGTCTGCAACATAACAGGACAACACGGTACAGGCATGTATACACTTTCAGGGATCTGCGTGCCGCCGATCGTTCGAGGACTCGAGGAGGAGAAGGAGGAGGAGGAGCAGGAGGAGGAGGTCGAGGAGGAGGAGGAGGAGGGGGAGGAGGAGGACGAGGAGGAGGAGGAGCTCGGATCGGTGCTTGGCCCCCCTCCCTGGCGCGCGGAGCGCGCACACAGACGACGGCGACCCGCCCCCGCCTGCCAGCGGGCGCTGCCTGAGGGCGACGGGGCATCGGGCGAAGCTACCCACTGGACTGCCCTCCGCCTGCGCTTCATCAACTCCCGAATCTAGAGGAAGAAAAAACGAAACAAAGATAAACTTTCGACGGTCCGCGGTGATGTCTTGGATCTGCGCTGGACCCCCCTCTCTGGCGCGCGGAGCGCGCCAGGGGCGGCGCTGGAGGCGCCACTAAGGGGGCCCCAGCGCAGATACAAGAAATCTGCGCAGAGCGCCGAAAACTTATATTTATGCATCTTTGTCTTCTTTGAGGGTCCCCCGACTTCCCGTCTGCAGGCGGGTTCCTGCGGAAGGAACTCTCCGAAGTTCTTGTTGAACAGCGAGAGGGTCACCTGGGCATCCCCGGGGCCGGCATGGAGCGGCCTTCAGCCCTTCGCCTTGCAAGCTCTACCGTCGCATGCGCTTCAGAGTGCCCAGACGCCAATCGATCCCCGAAGTAGGTACAATAAGAAAGCCGATGTCTTCAATCTGAAACCAAATGTGCCACTGATCATGGTTCTGGACCGACGCCGGCGTCCAACCTTGAACGGCCGCGCTAGGGTCACCACCGCGTCCACACGACATGAACCTACCTAGTATGGATCCTGAGGGCTGCTGGAAGAAACTAACGACCATCTTCTCCGATTCGAGGTAAACCCGCGGCATTAAATGCGAAACCCTTTGCTTGTAGACACGAGCATCGAAAAGGGGGCTTGCCCCTGTACTGGGCTCTGATTACGGATGGTCGCAGGGTAATGCACTAGCGAATCCCTGGCATGTCCCGAATCGGACCCCTGTGCTGGCAGAGAGTCGAAATCAAACGCGGAAACACTGCATGCTGGGGCAGTGTGGCTTGGTCGAATCACGGAGAACACCGAGCGTGGAATGTCGGGACAGTGTGCACCAAAAGCATTGCAACATTACACGCTCATTGAGTTCATCTGCTATTCAACACGTCGTCGTGAACTTCTCGGATCCTGAACCCTTGCTTTGGACGCCCGAAATGGGTACGGAAGCAGATGGGCACGATGCCCGACAGCGAATGTCGTCCAAAATCGACAACAGCCGCGGTTGGACAAACGACTCTCTCTCAAATGGACAGAGTCCGCGGCGAAGCCGACAACGAGCCCAATTTAAATGGACAGGAGCTGCCGTCGGTCTCTGTCCCCAACTTCCCGTGCCCACTTCGACAATGCCGGTTTGCTGATCAAGCCACGGTGACGCAGACAGCCGCGATGATCCCGGTGAGGCCGGCGCCGAAGGGCAAGAAGGCCTGGCCGCTTCGCGGGGGTCACTCCAGATCTGCCATCTCTCGCCACTGACAAACACCGCGGTGCGAGCATCAGCAAGGCTTCCTAGATTCGCGCGTCGCGCTGCGACGCCCCCTGCGGAGGAGGAGGAGGAGGAGGAGGAGGAGGAGGAGGGGGAGGAAGAGGAGGATGAGGAGGAGGAGGAGGAGGAGCAGGAGCAGGAGGAGGAGGAGAGCAGGAGGAGGAGGGAGGAGGAGGAGGAGGAGCAGGAGCAGGACGAGGGACAAGGCGAACAAGGGATGAGGAGGACGAGGGAGAGAGAAGGCCCAAGCCTCGAACCGCGCAGCCCGAATGCCCTCGCGGAAGCCCTTGATATTGCACGAAGCAAGAGCGCTTGAATTGCGCGGGAGCCCCATCCTTCTGAGATTCGAGGCCGGCTCGATCGGGAGACTCTCGATTCTGGCGATTTAAAAAAACAACAACACCAGTACGCTGATGACGAGATAGCACGGGTGTAAAATAAGTAAGGATCGAAAATACATGTTTCGCACATGTGCGAAACGCAAGTGTTAAACATGTGCAACGCGGAAGTACGGGTACGAAAAGTGAAATATGAGAGGCCCACAGCGACATCCGCGTCGCGGTTCCAACCTTCCGCTTCAGTGCGAAGATTGCTGGACAAATGCAGCCTTGCGCGCGCTCTCATGCGTGGGCATTAGACGCGCTGAAGAAGCACATTGGCGCGCTGGCCCATGCGCCGGCGGTTCATTTGCCCAGTCATGTAGTAGCCGCTAGCCTCCCAAAGTCCAGCTCGCCCGTCACCCCCTCGCCTCTTCTGCGCGCGTTTCCGCGCAAGCGTTCGAACATTCGGTTCAATTTCGAGCCACAGAACAACGGCAAATTGTCCGACGTCGTGGCCCTGGGCAACATGTCCAAATCGTCGGCGTCTTTGTGGCCGGCGTCGACGACGACCCCTTCGGGCATGGCCTGGCATGCCATAGAAATCATGACTCTGGCGTGGGGAATGGGCAAGCCCGTACGGGTGACCCTGCGCTTGGAGGCGCAGTGTCATCCACGTGAAGCACTGGGAGCTCACAAGGACGGCGAGGTCACGCTGGCTTCTGCGTAGGACGTAACTGAATTGGATACCGCACGATCACGAAAATGGCGACGATCCCACAGCTGGTAGTACCCTGGCGGCGAGGTGTCGTGATGGGGGGCAGTGTTCAGACCAAAAGGGACCTAGTAGCGAACGGGGTTTCGTTTAGGTTTTCGTTGGAAGTCACTCGCCAGACCCCATCCACCCGCGTCGTAGCCTAGTCAGTTTTTGTTCAGAAGAATCTCATATGTTCAAAATTCCTGTGGGTTCTCGTTTTGAATAGAGCACTGTGGTATCCACTCGTTCGTCATCGTTTCCCTCCCCCTGCCTCCTCTTGCGTTGCTCTCTGAGTGGCTAAGAGCTGCACAACTGTCGCCCCTTTCGTGGGCCTGTGGGAAGTCTAACGGAGTGGATGTGTACGCGCACCTGGACGGCACCTCCCCGTTCCCCAGGTGGGTTCGAACTGAAAAATTGTCGCTCTGTTCGCAAATGCCGGGGAAACCCAACGAAATGAAGGTGCAGACGCATCCAAACGTGACCTCGTGATCGCCCTGGAGGCTGCGAGTTGCGCAGCTGTCGCCTCGTTCGTGGGAGGCTCCTGGGAAGTCCAGCGGAATGGAAACGCACGCGCATCCAGACGAAACCTCGCGATTTCCTGGGAAGCTAAGGTCTGCGCAACAGTCTCAACTTTCGTGCGTTCCTGGGAGGTCCAACGGAGTGCACGCGCACGCGCATCCGAGACCTCTCGGGCCCCTGGGTGGGTGCGAACTGCGCAGTTGTCGCCTCGTACGTGGGCTCCTGGGAGGCCCAGCGGGGTTGAGGCGCACGCGCGCCCAGACGAGACCTCGCGGTTCCCTTGGTGGCTGCGAAGTGCGCAAATGTCGCAAGGTTCGTGGGTTCCCAGGAGGTCCGGCGGAATTCGGGTGTACCCGCATCCAGAAGAGACCTCGCGGCTCCTTGGATGGCTGGCCCAGCGAAGTGGCGAGCAGCGCAGAAGCACTTCGAGACCTCGCGGCCTCTTTGGGGGGCTGGCGAGCAGCGCAGATTGGCTGAAATGTTGCCACTTTCGTGAGCTCCCGGGGAGGCACGGCGGAAGACAACGCAGCGCAAATCACTTCGAGACGTCACGGCTCCCTGGTTGGCTGCGAAATGCGCGTCGTCGTCAACTTCGCGGCCTCCTGGGAGGCGCGGCGGAATTGAGGGCCCCGCAAATCATTGGATACCTCCGGGCCCCTTCGGGGCTGCGAGCTGCGCCGCCGCCGCCACCTTCGTGGGCTTCTAGGAGGCGCGGCGGAGCGCAGGGCGCCCACATGGCGCGTGCCGGCTGCCCACGTCGCGCGCGGCAGCGTCGCGTCACTGAGCGCGCGACGCTGCTGCGTCCCAGAGCGCAGAGCGCCAGAAAGTCACGTGGCGCATTGCGCTGTCCTCACTAGCCCACTCCTGCGCAAGTGCGCGACGCGCGTGGTCCGACTGCTGCATAGTTTGCAATGTGTTTTCTTTGGGTCTGGAATAGGTACTCGTACTAGCCAGCCGTTCTGCGGTTGATCGGGGGTTTGTGCATATAGAAGAAAGGGCGTGCGCTTCTGGGCGAAAAGAGAATGATCGGGAGGAGGATCGCGAGGGGGGATCGAAAGAGTGAGGGTCACGCGGGTGAGGATCAGGCGAGAGCGGATCAGGAAGGCGAGGGACCTGACCTTCTCGCGCTCTTTTCAAGGATGTCTCGAACGAGATCCCTGATGGGACCCGCCCCTGGCGCCCCGCCGCGCGCCCCAGAAATGGTCCGTGGTGGCGCGGCTGGGCCTGATCTCCTCACGCGCCGGGGGCGAGAGCTGTGCTGGGACACGCCCGGCGCGCCCTGGCGCGCGCCCCCGAAATAGTTCGTTTTAGGGAACGGGGTGGGGCCTGACTTCCTCGCGCGCCGGGGGTGAGGATGACGTGAGGTCCACCGAAACTGCCTCAAATAAATCATCGCCTCGCGCGGGGAGACGGTTGAGCACGTTTCGGCTAATTTCTAGGAGCTTGGCCTGTCGTGCCCTTCTTGGTACTGCCGTTTTCAACTGCTGTTTCTTTTGTGCCGCCTTCGCGCCCAGGCCGCCCCGTTTTAGCTCGAAGCTCGAGTGGAGAGATGGCCCCGTCTTCAAGCTTCCACATTAGAAGACTGGACAACAACAAACACTATCGCCCTCTGGCCGTTTTGGAAACAGCTGCGCCCCTCCCCAGGGGACCAGGTGCGGGCTAGCGGGCCCCCATCGGCGCTCCATGGGCGACTGCGGGTCGATGCATCCCCCCCGCTGAGCCCACTCCTGAGGTCCGAATTCGGGCCCCAGCGGCGGCTCCCTGGGCGCGCACTGGTGGGGGGCGATGACTGGGGGGCGGCGGCGAGGGCCGTCGAATCGGGGCCCTGCAGGGCCTCACAGAGGGCCCCCCATGCGTCGCCCCCCCACTGATTCGCGCCGAGCCGCCTCGCAATTACGCAGAGTTTGCCGTGGGCTTGCCGCCGAGCCGGCTGTCCCCGCTGCGGTCTCGGCGCCAGCCGCGCTCGCGCCAGCGGCGCCGCTCGTCCGCGCCCGAAGAGCCCGCCGCCGCCCTCGGCGTCGGGCTCCGCGAGTGGCGGCGGCCTGTGACGCTCGCCACGGACGAGGCGGGGCAGGAACTTCGGCGCGGCAACCCGAACTTCTCGGGGCGAACCGGCTTCGGCGGGACAGGCAAAATGGCGGCGGCCGCTCGGCCGGGGGGGGGGGCGCCCAGGGGAAGGACGGGGGCGGCTCGCCAAGCCCGCCCCGAGGCCGGGCGCGCGCGGGCCAGGGACGCGAGGGGGACCCAGCCGCGGCAGCAAGGGCCCCCCCCCGGGCAACCTTCTTCAGACGACGGCCGGCGACGGCGGCGGCAGCGCCGACCGCATCGGAGCGGGTTGCTGGGAGCGCCGGCTGCTTCGCGGGGCCTTCGCCCTAGGGGCGGGGGGCAGGAAAAAGGGGGGAGGGGCCTCGGAGGGGAAAGGCGGCGACGGGGGAGGAAAGAGCAGCCTCTCGCAGCCACCCCACGGCCACGCACTTCCGAGAAGGAGACACGGCCCCCCGTCGCAGCGAGAGAGAGAGAGAGAGAGGAAGAGAGAGAGAGAGAGAGAACAAAAACAACACAAATATATAGAACAAGAGAAAGAGAGCGAGAGAAAGAGAGGGAAAGAGAGAGAGGGAGAGAGAGAGAGAGAGCGAAAGAGAGAGAGGGAGGGAGCGAGAGGGAGAAAGAGAGAGAGAGAGAGAGAGCGAGAGAGAGAGCGAGGGAGAGAGAGAGAGAGATATGGAGGTATATATATATATATATATATATAGAGGAACAAAAGGGAGAGAAAGAGAGAGAGAGAGAGAGAGAGAAAGAGAGAGAAATAACGACATAGAGAAAGAGAGAGAGAGGGAGAGAAAGAGAAAGAGAGGGAGAGAGAGAAAGAAAGAAAGAAATCCATAAAGGAAGAGAGAGAGAGCGAGAGAGAGAGAGGGAGAGAGAGAGAGAGAGGCCTGACAGCCCCACGCCGTGAAGAAGCCGAACACACCCAGGAAATTCTCGACCTCCTCCACGACCTCGTTCTACCCCCGCACCTTCCGCGCCGCCGCGGCCTTCGGCCGCTGGGGCCAGGCGTGGGTTACCGCCGGGAAGGCCTCGCCGTTCTTGTGGCCGCCCCCTGGTTCTCCAGCCAAAGCGCCGCCGCGCCTTGGCCGCTGAGGAGGGCCAGGTGCTCGTAGGTGCGCAAGTGCACGAGGCCCTTCTTGAAGAAGGTGTATTCCTTGAGCGCTTCAAGGCGCCTAAGCATGGGGTCGAAGTGACCCGGCGTTTTCCAGAAGGGGAACAGCACGTGGTCGACGAGCTGGTCGACGAGCTGGCCGACCGACCAGAGCTTCTGCTCGCTCGTGTGGGTCCGTCTGGGTTTGCCCGCCATGAGGCCCGGGAACACCGAGGCCTCGTGCTCCAGGAGGTGGGCGTCGAGCTGCGGCAGGAAGGCAGGGCTGCTCACGTCGACCTCCTGCTCCAGGAGGAAGTCGAGGAGGCCCCCCGAACGCACCGCCAACACCAGGGGCAGCTTCGCGATCAATTTCCGCCTGCCCCCTCCGATCGCAGATCCCGTGGCGGGAAGAATCCCCGCTGGGCACTTCCCGCGAGCGTTCGCCACGAGGCGGGTGAGCTTCTGAAAGAAAAGGGTCGGTCTCGGCCTGCTTCTTGACCGGGTGCAGACGGAGGTTCCGCACGCAGGCCTCCCGCGACGTGTTAGCCGTGGTTACTGGCGCTCTGGTCTCGCCGATCGCCTTGACCCTTTGAGCCGCCGACTCGGACAGGCCCAGCGACGCGTCTCTCTCGGCGCGGGTCGCCATGTAGGCGCCGAGGTATTGGGCGGGCATTTTCCTGAAGTCCCCGCTCTGCGCTGCTTGTCTCGCTACCGCCGTCAGGACTGGCCCATACAGACCCAGGATGGTTGAGCCCACATTTGCGCCGTTCTCGCATGGGCGTCTGCGCCGTGGCGCGCAGCAACGCCTCGAACGCCCCATGGTTGCGGGTGTCCGCACAAGCCCGGCCAGCTTCCCGCTACCGTCCCACCGTGCGACCCCGGTGTGCCCCCATCGGCTACGGCCCAGAGGAGTAGGGAAGAGGGGGGGAGAGGGGAAGTGCAGTCCCGCTTCGCCAGCAGCTGCTGACGAAGCGGGACCCCTCTGGCTATCCCATCCCAGGTCGATGATCTTGCAACGAAGCAGGGGGGGGGGAAGGGAGGGGGGGATGGGATAGGAGGAGGGGGGGGGGGGAGGGGAGCGGGGAAGAGGAGGGTGAAATGGCAGTCGGCCCGCCCGCCCGCGCGGATTCTCCCGCCATCGGCGCGCCTGCGCGCCCGCTCCCGCCAAATGGGGAGGAGGTGGATGGGGGCGAGGGAGGGAGGGAAGGAGGGAAGGGGGGGGGGAGGGAGGAGGGAGGAGGGGGAGGAGGGGGGGGGGAAGAGGAGGGAAAGGGAGCGGGGGGGGGGGGGGGGGGGGGGGGGGGACAACTGCGGGGAGGGAGGGGAGGGGAGAAGGGGAGAAGGGGGAGGGCGGGGCGGCTCTCGGGCCACTCGAGCCGTGAACCGAAACAGCGGCGGGGTTGCAGGAGGGGGTGCCCCGGAGGAGGAGGAGAAGGAGGAGGAGAAGGGTGAGAAGGAGGAGGAGGGACGAGCAAGGAGCAGCAAGGGCGGCCGGGGCCGCACACCGGGAAAGGGGCGCGGGCAAGGGGCAGCGAGCAGCCGGATGGAGAGGGGGAGGGGTTGGGCAAGGGTTGGGCGTTGCTTGGCGGGTGAGGCGAAAGGGGACGGGGAGGGGACCGCCCACCAGTCGCGCCCCTTCTTGGCCTCCAGGGGACCCCAGAAGAGCCCCCTCTGGAGCACAAGAGGTGCACCTTTCCCTCCCCCCCCCATCGTAACACTCATCGCATACTGAACGCAAACATCGTTGATGCGCCTTGGGTTTGCACTGGTCCTCTCCTCGTCCGCCCTCCTCCTCCTCCTCCTCCTCCTCCTCCTCCTCCTCTTCCTCCTCCTCCTCCTCCTCCAACTCCTCTTCCTCCCGCTGGCCCGCACGGTCTTGATCCTCCTACGCCTCCTCTCAAGGTTTATGGTTTTGGCCTGACCCCGCTGACCCTCCGCTCCTCCTCCACCTCTTCCTCCTCCGCCTCCTCCTCCTCCTCCTCTTCCTCCTCCTCCTCTCCTCTTCCTCCCCTCCTCCTCCTCCTCCTCCTCCCCTCCGCCACCTCCTCCTCCTCCTCCTCCTCCTCCTCTCCTCTTCCTCCTCCTCCTCCTCCTCCTCCTCCTCCTCCTCCTCCTCTTCCTCCTTTCCTCCTCCCTCCCTCCGCTCCCTCTCTGGCCCGATCCCACGGGCCTTGTCCCTCTCCGCCTCGGCCAGCACGGCCTCCTGCCGCGAGGTCAGCAGCACGGCCTCGCCCCCCGCGCAGCCCCGCGCGGCCTCCCCTACCTGCAAGCAGTCTGCCTCCTCGCCCTCGCCTCCTGCGGCAGGCGAGGAGGAGGGGGAGGGGGAGGGAGAGGGGGAAGGAGGAGGAGGAGGAGGAGGAGGAGGAGGAGGAGGAGGGAGGAGGAGGGAGGAGGAGGAGAGGAGGAGGAGCAGGAGGAGCAGGAAGAGGAGGAGGACGAGGAGGAGGAGGAGGAGGAGAATAATAATAATAATAATAATAATAATAATAATAAGCAGAAGACGAATAAGAATAATAAGAATAAGAAGACTAATACAATAATGATAATAATAATAATAACACTAATAATAATTCCATTACTAATAATAAGAATAGTAATAATACTAATAATGCGAATAATAATAAAAATAATGATAATACGACTAATAATAATCATAATAACAATAATAATAATAATAAAAATAATAGTGTGAATAATAATAATAAGAAGAAGAAGAAGAACCTGCAAGCAGTCTGCCTCCTCGCCCTCACCTCCTGCGGCAGGCGAGGAGGAGGGGGAGGGGGAGGGGGAGAGGGAAGGAGGAGGAGGAAGAGGAGGAGGGAGGAGGAGGAGGAGAGGAGGAGGAGGACTAGGAGGAGCAGGAAGAGGAGGAGGACGAGGAGGAGGAGGAGGAGGAGAAGAAGAATACTACTAATACAAACAATAATAATAAGAATAAGAAGAATAAGAAGAAGATGAATAATAAGAATCAAAAGAAGAATACTAGTAAAAAGCAAGAAGAAGACGACGCATATTAATAATAGTTAGAAGAAGCAGAATAATACTAATAAAAATGGTACTAATAAGAATAATCAGTAGAAGAAGAAGAAGAAGGGAGAGGAGGAAGAGGCAGCCTGCCCCTTGTGGCAGGCGAGGAGAAGGAGGGAAAAGAGGAGAAGGAAAAGTAGGCAACATACCTCCTGAGGCCAGCGATGAAGAGGAGGAGAACGAGGAGGAGGAGGAGGAGGAGGAGCAGGAGGATGGGGAGGGGAAGGGGGAGGGAGGAGGAGGAAGAGGAGGAGGAAGCGAGGAATATGAAACAGCCTGCCTCCAAAGGCAGGCGAGGAAGAGCAGAAGGAGGAGGACCTGGGGGCACCGAGGAGGAGGCAGGCTGCCTCCTCCTCCTCCTCCTCCTCCTCGCCTCCTCGCGGCGCTCCCATCCCCCCACGCCCCTCCAGTCCCCCCCCCCCCCTCGCAGATCAACTCTGGCTGAACCTAAAGGCAGGAGTGGCCTGTGTCGGATGCCCGAGTTATCTGGGATCACTGCGGTCCGGGGTAACTCAGGCTTGGGCCCCCGAGGCGCGAATCTATGGTAACACCGACTGCCCCCTGCCCTTATGATTCGGGAAGGTTCGACGCCCGGACTATCCCGGATAACTGCGGTCCAAGGGAACACCGGCTTGAACTCCGAGGCGCGAATCTTCAGTTGTCCCTGAATGCCCCCTGCCCTGAACGAGGAGAAGGAGGACGAAGAGGAGGATGAGGAAAAGGAGGAGGAGGGGAGGGAGGAGGAGGGAGGAGGCAGAGCAGGAGGAGGAGGAGGAGGAGGAGGAGGGAGGAGGAAGAGAGGAGGAGGAGGAGGAGGAGGAGGAGGAGGAGGAGAACGAGGAGGACGAGAACGAGTAGGAGGGGGAGGAGAGAGGGAGGGAGAGGGGGAGGGAGGGAGAGAGGAAGGGAGGGAGGAGGGAAGATGACAACGATAACGATGACGATGATGTTGATGATGATGATCATGCTTGTGATGATGGCGAAGATGATAATAATGATGATGACGATGATGATGCGGATGGTGATGATGATGATGATGAGGAAAAGGATGATGAAGTTGATGATGCTGCTGCTGCTGATGAGGATGAGGATGATTGTGATGATGCTCACGACGATGATGATGATGATGATGATGATGATGATGATGATGATGATGATGATGATGATGAAGAGGAGGAGGAGGTGGAGGGCGAGGAGGAGGAGGAGGAGGAGGAGGGGGGGAGGACATGCTAGGTGCGCTCGCGTCATATCTGACATCCGACCCCTCCCTCCCATCCCTTACCATGGCGCAGATCCCCTCTCTACTCGCACAGTCGGATGTCGAGCAGGGCAATGATCCCGAAAGGGTACGCGATGCATTGTAGAGCACGGCGTGGCATGGCGTAGAAGAGCACCGCGAAGCGTAGTATCAACCTATCATTGCATGCATGCCGCGGCATGGCACAGGAAATGACGCCAACGCTGCAGCGGGAACGCGAGTCGGAACGAGCGGAAGCGCGGAAATGAAGCCAACGCTGCAGCGGGAACACGATTCGGAACGAGCGCAAGCACGCCGGAATCGGCCCTGGAGGCCTCCCGGGCGCCGGAAAAGAAAAAATTGTATTGGAATGGCCTTTTTTTTCGGCGCCGCCTCGGAACTCGATTTTCCTGCGCCGGCCGGAACCGGCTCCGGACCCAACCCGGGCGCTGGCCCGGGCGCCGGCTCGGGCGCCGGCCCGGGCGTCGGAAGCGGCCCGGGAGGCCTCCCGGGCGCCGGAAGTAGAAATTCAGCATTTCCAAAAAAAAATGTGTATTAGAATGGCCTTTTTTCGGCGCCGCCTCGGAACTCGATTTCCCGGCGGCGGCTGGAACCGGCTCTGGACCCGGCCCGAGCGCCGGCGAAAATGATGCCAGCGCTGCAGCGGGAGCACGATTCGGAACGAGCGGGGCCCGAAAATGAGGCCGGCGCCTCAGCGAGAGCAGCATTTTAGAAACAAATGCAGGCGAAAACCCAACTCCGGGGAAACCTGTGTGTAAAAAACAGTACGCGGGTGGGGGGGCGGCTACTCCCAAAACGTCATCAGGGGAAGAGGGAGAGTAGTATTCGTGTTGAGTAATTGCGAGGAGGAGGAGGAGGAGGAGGAGGAGGAGGAGGGAGAAGAGGAGGAGGAAAGGAAGGCGAGGGAGGATGGGGGAGAGAGAGGAGGAGGAGAAGGAGGAGAAGAAGGAGAAGGGAAGGATGAAAAGGACAAGAAGAACGAGGAGGAGGAGGAGGAGGCGGAGGGGGAACAGGGGCAGGAAGAGGAGGGGGAGGAGGACAAGGAGGGGGCAGGTCGAGGAAGATGGGGAGAGAGAGGATGGAGGAGGAGGAGGAGGAGGAGGAGGAGGAGGAGACGGAAGAGAAGGAGGAGGAAGAGGAGCAAGAGGGAGGAGGAGGAGGAGGAGGAGGAGGAGGAGGAGGAGGAGGAGGAGGAGGGGAGGGGGCGGAGGAGGAGGAGGAAAACGCGTTGGCGGATGACGATGATGATGACAATGATACTGATACTGATAATGATGATGCTGATGCTAATGCTAATGCTGATGCTGATGCTGATGCTGATGATGATGATGATGATGATGATGATGATGATGGTGATGATGATGATTATGCCGATGCTGACGATGATGATGATGCGCATGATGAGGATGATGATGATTTTGATGCTGATGAAGAAGATGATGAAGATGAAAATGAAAATGATGGTGATGATGATGAAGAAGATGCTGATGATGATGATGATGATGATGATGATGATGATGATGATGATGATGATGAGGATGATGAGGAACAGGAGCAGGG